TGCCCATTGTATGCCATTCACAGGGTAGTCTAAAAGAACATCTTTGGGGTTGCCTTCTTCCCAGTCAGCTCCTCTGAAAGGCCTGAGCATCATGGTGGCTTGCCTGCTTCCTGGGAGAAGGCACCCTCCAGGGTCTCCTTGCATTGGGTGCCCCTCACTCCTCTTTCATGAATGAAGATCTGGCCAAGCATGGGCCGCTTCCCCCGACCGCCCCCCCCCCCCTTGCAAGAACACAATCAGCTACTTGTTTTGACGGCACTGACTTCTTCATCAACATTATCATAGCATTTAGTTCACCAGGTTTGTTCCCCCATGGCTACCACGGAACAAAACAGATTGTCAACATACTTTGGAACGTTGCAGGAGCCCACTTGAGAATGGAGATTTTCCTCCTGGGATCAGACATTAGCTACCGAAAAGCATTAGTACATTACCAAATTTCAGCTTTGTTTGTCTGAAAGATACAGACTGAGGAAGATATTTTCCTCCTCCTCCTCTTCCTTGTACCTACGTAACTTGTCAGCTACCCAGCTATATAAATGGAATTAAACAAACAAATAAAAATTGTTCATCTGCAGTCCCAAAGTGACTGTTGGCACCTTTGCTAGTCTGGGTGAGGGTCCTTGAGAGACAAGTGATCTCTTTGCCTTTCAGCCCTGTAAAACTCGAGTCAGTGCGCAACAAATGGAGACCCGTAGCATCTCTGGAGTTGGCTGATTTTAACCCAGCGTCTTCTCAGTGTGAGTATCAGGACCTTGCAGACATAATCCATATTGGTTTCCTAGGTGTATGTTGTGATAAGTGGAGGAAGATTCAGTTGGGAAGAGAACCACAGGCTGTCTCAAGCCTTCCAAGCCCTAAAATGCTCAGAGGCACCAGATATCCCAGAAGCCCTGCTGAGGAGCAAGCTATTTCTGTGTCTCCTTCATTTAATGGATTTCAGCGCAGGGTACAATAGAGCTGAATATTATTTAAACAAAATACAAATCCCACAATATCCTTCACAATAAAGGCAACAGATGACCACAAATACAGGCATGTTAAGAAAATACAATTTTTTCAACTGCCAAGGCAAATAGAAGTCCTTTTTTGGTGCTGAAAAAATAGTAATAGAGCATTTAAATATCTCTGTGGCCGTGTTCTTGAAGTTTTGTTTCCTAACGTTTCGCCAGCACCTGTGACCGGCA